GAATCAAGACATCCGGATCCGGTCCGGATCCACCTGGAATCGGCCCAGATCCAGTCAAAAACCCTGTTTCGCGATTTTCAATATCCTAATGGGAATAGGATTCTTGGGAGCCGCCCTAGGGTTATAAGAAAGCCCTAGCCACGTCCTAGAACATCAGAGAGCCTTAGAGAACACTTAGATACAGACTTTTGTAGAGCTTTTGGTGAAGAAAAGAATAGAAGTTCACGGGATTTCGGGAAGAAGAAGGAATATTTGATCGTGGAGACTACACATCTACATGAGCTTTTCTCTCATCTCTTTTATCTCTTTTTCTTTATTCTTTTTATTGTTTTCCATGAACCGTGAGTAGATCCACGACTATGGGTTAGGGATTCGTTTGTGTTTTGGGTATGTTTGAACCCTAATTTGGATTTCGGTTTTGATTTGTTTCGGTTCTATTGATTTGCGCTTTTATTGGATTGATGTTTGCTAACCCATTGGTCAATTATCTTAGATTCTAAACTACATAGAGATATGGGTTTAGTTTCGGATCAAAATCAATAAGATAGATCGTATTATTCACATATAGATATGGTTTAATCGATCTAGGGGTGATGGTAGCGTTCTTCATGCATCTAGGGTTAACTTGAATAGATCGAGAGATTTACGAGTTACTCTGTAGGTAGTGAGTTAGTAGACCGAGAGGTGAATTCTCTATCTTTGTTGCTTGACGATTCCCGAAAGCAAGTCATAATCGTTATTCTCGCATGCTTAGCATATACCCATACACGTGAATACGATCCCGATACCCGTAGTCACCGTTGCTTGATAGTTTACTCGTTTTTATTGCATTATTTCCTTATTCTCCATTCTTTCCACATATTTTCATCATCACTTCCACTTCTACTTGCTTTGATTTAGTTTCGGTTTGGCTTTGCCGAAACGATCGGTTTGACCCCCAGATTCGGGAAAACTTCTAATTTTGTCCAAACCGAAGGGAAATAAGAGGGGAAAGCCTCTAGGTCGAAATTCATTCAAGATTTACACAGAAAATAGACCTAGAGCACACCAAAAGGGGGAGATTATCAAGAGGCAAGAGATCGGAGTAGAAGACGGAGATTACGAAGCCGGGAAATCGACTAAGCATTCTTCCTTTCTTTTATTTTACGATGTTTTGTATTATTGATATAAACTTTGTCGTTTCGATGTTTAGCGAGTAGTTCCCTTGCTGTGGGTTAGGGATTTGCTATGTAGAGATCTTTGATTTTTAATTTCAGACTATGTGGTATTATTTATTTGATTCAGTTTATTGAGTTGCTCTTAATGCGTTTGATCTTGTTGACCACTTGATTGAATGAACTTAGGGTTTTAATTCGCATAGACATATGAGATTCTAACCTGGAAATAACTCAGTAAATAGGAGTTGTTCTTAATGCGTTTGATCTTGTTGGTCACATGATTTAATTAACTTAGTGTTTTAATTCACATAGACATATGGGATTCTAACCTGGAAATAACTCAGTAAATAGAATAGGTATTGCATCGAGAGATGGATATTTGCCTAGGGATTATGATAGCGTTCGTTCATGCATTCAGGGTTTAGACTATTGAATCGAGAGATTAGTAGGATAAAGCCTGGATAGTGAGGTTAGACTCGAGAGACTTAATCTCTATTTTAGAGCTTGAATTCCCTGAATTGGATTTAGAAACCACATAATCTGCATCTTTAGAGAAGACCCTTGCATGTAAAGCAATCCCGAAACCTGAAGTGTTTATCATTCATAGTTACAACCGTTTTCATTGTTCGCTTTGCCACATTCTTCCACTTATATTATTTTCTCTGGACCTTGATTTGGATTTGGATTTAATTCAGTTGTTTACGTGTCCTTGTGTTCGACCCTAGTTGCTACACACGATCCGTACACTTGCGGTTAATTGTTGAGTCTAGGATATTATTACTTGATCAAATTTATACACCTAGATTTGCGACATCATCGACCTCCAGATTCATCACTATGTAAACAACTAGGGTCGAGCTAATGACTTTAAACAAGCGCTTCTCGGGAGGCAACCCGAGCACTATGTAACTTTTCTTTTTCTTTTCTTTTTCTTTGTAGCGTAGGTAGTAGAGAGCATGATTGTATTTTGGATCTTTCAGAATGCATTGCTATTATTATGCTTTTGTTCGGATAACGTTTGTTGTTCTATGAGCGTTTACACCGGCACACGAGAGATGAGCATCGACTTCCGAGAGACAACGTTGGATAGGTTCCAATTCACAGAGTGCGTGAGAGCTTTTGCGTTTGACGTGAGTTAACTTCGTTGCGAACGAACGAATTTTGCAGAGCTAAGTTTCTCTATCCCTCTTATTGTTCCTTTTCATACGTTGTCTTCGATTCTACTTTTCCGGGCGAGAGTCTACACCGTGGACGGTGTATGGTTCAAGTCTGGGGGGTGGAAAGATCATTCACACATTCAGGCCTATCTACTTAGGACTGCATTTAGTTTAGGTGCATTTTATCATGTCATATAGACTTAGGAAAATTTTTCACTTTTGCATATCACTTTGCATTAGTTGCATTCACATGTTTTTTTATTTTATTTTCATATAGATGGGTTTTTGTTAGGTTTGCATGATTGCATTTGACATATAGATTTAGGCTCATATAGGTTCACGTGCATACCTCGAAAACCCGTTTCGACCATCATTTGGAAGATTTGTGGGATGATAGAGTAGAAATATCTTGATGATCTAGTGACTTTGTGGAACGTGGTTGAACCGTGTCGAATTGATAGTTCTCCAGACTTTCTATATAAATTTGTGGGATGGGGTTATTATTTGGAACCTACAGAGTTGAAACAACTATATCCAGGTTATATGTTTCTTTTAGAACCTTTTCCGAGTCTTGCAGGTCGATGAAATCTAGTTCAACAAATGCCTTGGAAAAATAAAGCATCTCGACACTCCGCTGTCAGAATCTCGTCAACGAAAATCGTTCTAGGACATGAGTGCATCGATCGATGGTTCGGGTCTAAGTTGTGGGTTGGACATCGCATCAAAAGAAAAAAAAATATAGAAGAAGAAAAAAGAGAGAAAGAAAAGAAAAGAAAGAGAAAAATGATGTCCTTCAACTTCAACGTCCTAGAAACCCGAGGTGCTAGCGTTCATTAAAGAAATTCTACAAAAAGGTAAAAATAAAAGGTAATAATCCATGTATGAAGTAGAACTTAGATCGAAGAGGATAAACTGAGATAAGAATAGGTTCGGAAACATGCTTGGTGAAGTTGTAGAGATTCTAAGGGTTCCAGGTGACAATAAAAATCCCATGGCTAGGTAGATTAGTCTTTGGTAGAAAGATCATAGTAAACCGGTTTGGGTACGATTTTCGGGAAACTAGCATTGGATGTATTTTTCGCTTTTGAGTTTCATGATGATGCTATTTGATGTTCGTCATTCCCTGTTTTGCAGATTTTATTCCTTCGTTCTTTACTCGAGGACGAGCAAAGGCTTAAGTCTGGGGGAATTTGATAACTCCTATTTTTCTCTATATTTTGATGAGAGTTTGTCTAGGTTTTAGGGGATAATCACATGCAATCATAGACATTCTAGGCGTGTTATGACACAAAACCCGGTTATACTTTAGTTTTGCAGAGTTACAGGTTTCGAAGATGATTGGACTCAAAAAGGAGCTATTTGGAGCCTTAAAGGAGAAGTCTGGATGAGGTACTCATGTTGCGACATCAATAACTTTCTCTACAAATGTCCAAATCGTGCGAGACTTATACCATTGGAAAGAGCACTTCAAGATCTTCATGTAGACACCAAAATCGCTAAATCCGACACTGGAGCAGAAGGTTATGAGCAAAACCGTGAAGATCATAATTTTTCCGGTGCATGGCGAATCCGGCTGGATTCGGTCCGAATCAAGACATCTGGATCTGGTCCGGATCCACCTGGAAGCGGCTCGGATCCAGTCAAAAACCATGTTTCGCGATTTTCAACATCTTAATGGGAATAGAGCTCTTGGGAGCCGTCCTAGGGTTATAAAAAAAATCCTAGCCATGTCCTAGAACATCAGAGAGCCTTAGAGAACACTGAGATACAGACTTTTGGAGAGCTTTTTTTGAAGAGAAGAATAGAAGTTCACGAGATTTCGGGAAGAATAAGGAAGATTTGATCGTGGAGACTACACATCTACATGAGCTTTTCTCTCCTCTCTTTTATCTCTTTTTCTCTGTTCTTTTTATTGTTTTCCATGAACCGTGAGTAGATCCACGACTATGGGTTAGGGATTCGTTTGTGTTTTGGCTATGTTTGAACCCTAACTTGGATTTCGGTTCTGATTTGTTTCGATTATATTGATTTGCGCTTTTATTTAATTGATGTTTGCTAACCCCTTGGTCAATTATCTTAGATTCTAAACTAAATTAAGATATGGGTTTGGTTTCGGATCAAAATCAATAGGATAGATCGTATTATTCACATAGAGATATGGTTTAATCGATCTAGGGTTGATGATAGCGTCCTTCATGCATATAGGGTTAACTTGAATAGATCGAGAGATTCACGAGTTACTCTGAAGGTAGTGAGTTAGTAGACCGAGAGGTGAATTCTCTATCTTTGTTGCTTGACGATTCCCGAAAACAAGTCATAATCGTTATTCTCGCATGCTGAGCATATACCCATATACGTGAATACGATCCTGATACCCGTAGTCACCGTTGCTTGATAGTTTACTCGTTTTAATTGCATTATTTCCTTATTCTCCATTTTTTCCACATATTTTCATCATCACTTCCATTTCTACTTGCTTTGATTTAGTTTCGGCGCTCACTTTTTTTGGCTAAGTCGTCTCTTTCTGGGTGGGACCGGATTAGGGTTTAGATTTAGCTACCGATCCGTTCGACCCCGTGTTACGACGATCTGTATCCTTGCGGTGAGTTGTGAACCGGGTAATAAATTCTAGACTCGGTACACACGTATCATATACTCAGATTACCAAAGTCTGCGAAAGTTAAAGATGTTGTCCGAGATGGCTGTTGGAATATATGCGGAGCTAGGAATGTCAGAGTACAACAGTTGTACTCCATTCTTGCAGGGAAAGAACCACCACGAGGCGACAAAGGCTCTGATTCCCATCTTTGGCGGGGAAAGGGTGACAAGTACCAGACTGATTTTCGCTCAAGAGACACATGGGACCATATACGGTGACCAGCAAGTCATGTTCCATGGCATCGGCTGGTTTGGTTTACTAATTCTATTCCCAGACATGCTTTCATTCTTTGGCAGGTCTTCCACCGAAGGCTCCCAACTGCGGATAGACTTGCTCAATGGGGCATTCAAGCGTCAAACTGGTGTGTTCTTTGCTGTAAGGAAGCGGAATCCCATAACCACTTATTCTTCTCTTGTGAATATAGTGTTGTTGTGTGGTGCTACTTTGCAGAGAAATTTGGAGAAAGACCGCCTTTGGACATCGGGAAAACTGTTGTATGGCTTAATCATCCGACGATTCTGACATCACGGGCAGAAGTCCTGCTAAAGAAGCTTCTATCTCACCTAGTGGTGTACGAACTTTGGAATGAACGAAATGGCCGAATTCACCGGAATCTCTCAAACTCGTCACACCAACTGCGACTCAAAATCGACAAATCCATGCGGAACATCCTCATATCCTTGCAGAAGCAGGAGACTATTGACTCAAATGAATTCATCCAACTTTGGTATCAGATTACTTACTATTCTATTTGACTTTGCCCACCTGCTATGGGAATCCTTGTATTGTGATCTCTGTATATCTTGAATATTCTTGTAAACTTTATGAACTCTTTACGGTAGTAATATAATACTCACATTAAACCCCAAAAAAAAAGTTTTTTTTGTTGATATAACAAAAAAAAAAAGTTAAAGTTCCAAACGCTAATTACAGGGGAATGAGTTCTAGAACCGAGTTGGATCTCATCAGCTTCAAGAGATTTTTGTTATTCTTCCACAAATGTTTCACTTGTTGAATAACCTCCATCCTATTTATTATTGCTATGGAGGCATTGTCTAGGAAGTTGGATAAATCTGCAGCCATCGGACATCTACAACTACACACGAAGTGTGCAGACCCTATGCTGACCCATCTGATCTTCGCCGATGATCTGGTAATTTTCTGCAAAGCAACTCAACAATCACTGCAAACTATTCAGAGCTGCCTAACATGGTTTGGAAGGAATTCTGGCTTGGAGGTAAACCCAGGGAAGTGTGAGATATTCCTTGGAGGTTTATCGGACCAAAGACAACAAGAGCTAGCAGCATTCATGGGCATAGCACTTGGCAAGTTTCCGATGAGGTACCTGGGTCTTCCAGTGAGTACTCAGAGATTATCAAAGGCTGATTATGAACCCTTGATGGAGAGAGTTAGAAACAAAGTGAGCAGTTGGTCAAGCAAGGTACTATCTTATGCAGGGAAGATCCAATTGGTCGCAACAGTGATATATGGCATGGTAAACAGTTGGAGCCAAGTTTTCCTACTTCCTAAATATCTCCTCAAACAAATCGATGCAATATGCTCCAAATTCCTCTGGCAAAACTCGGCAACCAGATCTGGAAGAGCGAGAGTAGCATGGAACGCAATTTGTCTGCCAAAGCGGGAAGGTGGTTTAGGGTTAAAGAAACTGGAAGATTCAAACAAAGTTTTTCGGTTGAAGATGATTTGGAGTCTCTTTAAAGATGCTAGCTCACTTTGGGTGGCTTGGGTCAAGAAAAATGTATTAAAGAGAGGATCCTTTTGGAACACAACACCTATCCCTAGAATGTCGTGGAATTTCCGAAAGTTATTGAAGTTGAAAGAGCTAGCCACACAATATATCAGATGTCGGATCGGGAATGGAAACACGGCGTCCTTTTGGCATGATAGTTGGACTACCTTCGGACCTCTGCTCGAATATATTGGAAACAATGGGCCTAGACTACTCAGAATTCCCATTACCGGCAAAGTAAGTGCAGCAATATCAGGGGGAAATTGGTTCCTTCCTGGGGCTCGGTCCCAAAGGATTCAAGAACTGCATATACACTTGCTATCAATCTCGGTACCTGATCAGACCGCGGAAGATGACAAGTATGAATGGAAAGTGGCAGAAAATGTGTACTCACGTCAATTCTCAGCAGCAGCGACATGGAAGTTACTGCGTGAAACAACACCTCAAGTGCCTTGGGCGCGAATGGTATGGTTTAAACAAGCGATATCACGTTATGCATTTGTACATTGGATGGTTATGCAGGGAAGGCTGCCAACACGGGATCGACTGCGGCGTTGGAATGCAATACAGGACTCAACATGTGTCCTCTGTGCCGAAGAAGAAGAATCACATGCCCATCTCTTTTTCTGGTGCCCTTACAGTGCGGAGATCTGGCAGGGAATAGCGAGAAAGATTTGGAGCAACCCACCAGGTGACCTAGTCATATGTAACTCTTGGTTGAATGGAGTTCTCCAATCTGATGGCAGGAACCGAAAGATACTAATGCAGTGCCTTATTCAACACGTCATCTACGAGATTTGGAAAGAGCGAAACTCACGTATATTCTCCAGCACTTTGACGGTTGTACAACCTCTGATGGTACGTATCGATCGATCAATCCGAACTACCCTCCTGTCACTACAACAGGCTCGAGAAAACCGAAGCAACACTCTGCTTCAGGATTGGTATTCACTTACGACTACGCAAGAGATATTAGACGAAGGATGAAATTGCTGTAAAATTTATTCCTGTCACAGAGTTTTTAGCGAAAGCTTTTAATGTGGATTTGGATCGTGTACTATGTACCCCAATTTTGAGTAATACAAAACACATTATATAAAAAAAAAAAAAAGATTCAATAAACGTCGAGCTTGCGATCGCGTCCAAGATGGAACATAAAAGACGAAGACCCCAAAAGTTTTTTTTTTCTCTCAAATAAAAAAAATATTACATACATAAATAAAGGATAAGGCACACAATTCTTCTGAAAAAGAGTAAAACATTTATTTAAGAAAATAATGTTCAAAACTACCCTTTAACAATTCCTATTATTATAAATAATTACTTTTATCTTACGGAAAAGGTTGGGATCCCTCTATCGAAAACTATTACCCTTGAAACATACCACGAATGTTTTTTATAATTCGTATATCATCGTATCATGAATAATAACAGACCCAGATATATATATATATATATATATTTATAAAGGACCACCCTAGCTAGTTTATTTAATCGAAAATTGGTATTAGATCACCGTAGAATTATTTAAAGATACTTTGATAAATGTTAGGGTTGGACATATAAACGAGATATACTATATAATCAAACAAGATTATATATAAACATAAGAGATGTAGTTAAATGAATATGACATAAACGAAAATTAACATCTACCGTTTGTGATTGACAGTGGTGTAATTTAATTAATCCTTTTGTTTACATCATTCAATTGATATTGAGAGAAACATATGTTAGAAAAAGAAATTACATATTCAACAAATAAATTAATTCTGGTTTACTTGGGCTTTCTCTAAAGCAACTATGTTGTCCGAACGAGTGTAGTCACCACCATCATACACACACGTATATATATACACACATATATATAAGGATATCATAGCATCAAATCCCCAAGGCATGGAAAATATCCAACGATTTCCACTAACTTTGAAGAATCAAAATCTACTAACTAAAAAAAATTACAGAAAAAGACGAAGAAGAGGAAGAAGAAAGATATGGTTCTTGGATGTCTCACAAAGTCATATAACAGCTTGTCTCTATGATACATCAATATATACATATATTCGTATCCCAAGTTGATTCCTAACCAAGATTTCGAATTTTGTTTGGAAATTTTTTCCCCATCTTTATGCAACTTCAGTATATATATATACACACACTCGCTTAACACTATATCTATAAATCTTCAGCCTCGATACGTGGAACAGAATCTCTCCTGCAGGCACAACTGCAAAAATCTTATGGCATGAATGCACACGTCGTTTTCGTATCCCCAAATCTTTTTATACATACATAAACATAAGAAAGAAAGACAAATAAAAAGAAACGAAATTACTTTTATTGCTATATCTCTTCTTCTTTCGGTTACGTTAGAATGAAAATAAAATACATATTTATAGGAAAGTGAAGAAACAGAGTAAAAAGGAAATATAGACACAATGAAAACAAATCAGATACACAATATTTGGCATAATAATATTGTATCCATTATTATTCTTCATCGTATCTCATATCTTATTTTACTCTCATCACATATTCATTTTCCTATTTTAACACATACATGTATTGACACACACACATATATATATATATATATGTTCACAAAACCAGTATGTAACACACCCATCAATAACAAGTCGTAATCAACAAGAAATAACTCTGGTTAACCAGACAGATCTCTGGTTAGTCGGTTAAAGGAGGAATTAAAGAATATATATGTTTGCAACTGTTTGGTCGTGATCCTTGAGCCTATACATACATATATACATACATGCATACATGTATTAATACACGCCCGCGCATAGACAGACGCACCCAAAAACATATATAGAGATATTGTCGTGCATGTAAGATTCTCTTTAAATGCATGTAGAAATTTGTGAAATGATTTGTTTTATTAATAATCAAAATAACATATAAATAGATGAGAGTCTTACATTGAATAAGTATAATAGATATAATAATAAATATTTCTAAATATATATTTTCCGGATTTGATAAGATGTTCATTATACGATATATCTCGTAATATTCTTCAAGATCCGAAATGATCTGCTTTATTGATAATCAAAATAACATATAAATAGTTGAGAGTCTTACATTGAATAAGTTAAATAGATATAATAATAAATATTTCTAAATATATATTTTTCGGATTTGATAAGATCTCCATTATACGATATATCTCGTAATATTCTTCAAGATCTAGTATATCTCAACATCCCCTTCAAGTCGGAGCGTGGAGATCACGAAACACCAAACTTGCAGAAAATATGATCAAACGCATGCCGCTTGAACCACATCACCTTGGAATTTCTGTCAATAGAAGATATAACTGGAAAAAATCAAACGAACGACTGCACTGCAAATTTGGAAACACGTAAAAAGAATCGTTTGATGATAACAAAAAAAGACGACAATCGCGGTGCGAAAAAGAAGTCTTGGGAATAATTCTAATTCATCCGAGATTAAAAACCAACTACGCGAAAGCGTTTAGCGACAACAAATTTTAGCAAGAGTAAGATGATTTGCGGTTATGCGAATAATCTTTTGAAACATGTGGGATTATGAGAGAAAATTTAAAAAGAAACAAAAATTACTCTTATATCATCATCTTCATCTTCACTCTCATTATCAACTATCATTTTTATGGAAAGAATAACAAATTAGAAAAGAACCAAAAGCACTGACACCATGTAGAAATTTGCGGAATGATATGTTTTATTGATAATCAAAATAACATATAAATAGATAAGAGACTTACATTGAATAAGTAAAATAGATATAATAATAAATATTTCTAAATATATATTTTCTAAATTTGATAAGATCTCCATTATACAATATATCTCGTAATATTCTTCAAGATCAAATATCTTAACAATGCATACATGCGTACGGATATTGTATTTATAAATTAAACGGATGTCAAAAAGTTAACGGATACGTAGTCTTCAACAAACCAATGATTCTATTCACTTGCCACATAAACTAGTGGCGGACCTACGTTATGAAGGGTGGGGGCACAAGCCCCCTCTCTAATTTAAAAGAATGATGATTTTAATATAAAATTACAACGAAAACTATCAAATGCCCCCATAAAAAATATCATTTGATTTTATACCATGATAGGTATAAAATGAATGCCCCAGCATTCGCATGCATGCAAGGCAACTCATAAAATGTGCAATATATATATATGATACATACATACATACGAAAGCGCGTGTGTATAGAGAGAGGAATAAAGATGTTGAAAATGGGGTCTGATGCTTGAAAGTGTATGCTTCGTTAGGAGAGGGATCCACCCCAAGTTGACAATCCATATTTCGCTCTCCTGTCATGTCTCTCGTCTTGTGACTCAAGGTATTCCATACATACACATGCATATGTGCGATTCCAACTTCTTAATATTATTTTCAAAAAATAAATACAATAAAAAATTAAAATAAATATTTATTTCTTTATGTATTGCCAGGGACTTGGATCACCACCTTTTGGGAAGTGATAATAGTAACTCGACAGATTTATAAAATTTAAAAATAAATAGTTTATCATTTGGTCGTCTACGAAGACGAAAGATCATGTTCCGCTACTTTGCAATGTATTAAGCGTCGATTATTGGTGTCACTCGATGCCATCTTTCTCACTTAATGATAGTTTCATTTTCATTTATTTTAACGGTTCGTTTTCATCTGACCTTTGTAACTATATATATAATAAAACACGCCATTATAATCAAAGACGATTCGATTCCATTGATTTTGGCCCACCACTTCTAAGTGGCATATAAAATAATATATAGTACCGCATGTTAGCCGTTATGGACGATTTCTATGATCCTCTTATGTAAGATATGATATCCACACTCTCGATTATTTTTTACAATCAATTATTAGGAGCGGTTTCTTAGTATAAATAAACACAATTAACACATAGTGAATGATGGTTTATGAATAAATTAAGTTCAAGTTAGAATCTGATGTGTTCTGTTTTATTCCTTTGTCTATATTTAAAGAAATAAAGGGCAAGATGACAATATTAAAAATTAATGGATATGATCATTTGAATTAGATAATATTCTAGTTGGGAGGCTTCGTTATCAAAATTCGATAAATGAATTTTATCATATATGATAATCATAATTGATTCGATACAGAACAAAAAAACCGTATTTATTTTCTATTTTAGAAACATAGCCATAACAATAGATATTACAAAATAATAGTCAATCTAGATAATATTGATAATTATATGTACCAAATTGATACCTAATAATTGATCATATATCTTTTGTGAGAAAAAAAAATGATGGGTTTCCTGAGATCTCTAGAGCGAATCATATTCCTAAGAGATCGATTCTAGGGTTTGCGCAGCGGATATAAAACAAAAATTTGAATGAAACCCTAGAATCATGCTTCTATGAATCGTATAAACGTTAGAACGCTTACCTCAATCGATCTGGAGCATGTATCAATTGAAGAACTTGTCTGATCACGAAAATGGAGGAAGAATACCTCGCCCTCTACATGTATCCACACCTCGGGATGGATTCCAACCGTTGGAACTTGTCTGCTAAGACCCGAATCAGCTATTCGGTTTCGCGCTTCGAGAAAACGAGACTGGGAACTCTTTGAACTTTTTTTATCTCACCAAAAGCTCTCAAAGTTCTGCCAAAAAAGTCTCTCTTTCAATTAGGGTTTTAATCTCATTCTTATAAGGTGATTTAACCCTAATTCGGTCTAATTTTTTAAAAATCCGAAACCCGGAACAGACGGTCCAGGAAAGCACGTGGATCGTCCGTTCTAGCATGCCAGAACAGACGGTCTGCCTTCTGTGGACCGTCGGGTCTGGCCCTTTCGGTCCGTCCATTCCAGCCCCTTCCGTCTCGGTTTTTCCGTCAGTGAACTCTTGGCTCATATACTCGCAACCACGATCCGATCGAAGTATCTTGATCGTCTTGTCAAGCTGGTT